CTCACGACGGCTCTGCGACATCCTCGTGCTTCAGCCGGTGGCTACTATCTTTATTACGTGTTAAAGAACTAAACCCTCATGCGTACTCGAGGCGGCCGAGATTATTGCTTCTTCTTACGCCCACTGAAAAACGGTGGAGGAAGAGATAATTATCTAGATGTTAATCACTTCATGGTATCATGAATCTCGATTTTTCTTTTTCGCTTGGTTTCCTATTTGTCCCTGGCAAGCTTCTTCATCGGCGCCTGATTAGTACTTGATGATGTTTTAGGGTGGTATAACCCCCCCCCCCCCCCCCCCCCCCCCCCCCCCTTCCCTTACCTCAAAAGAAAGAAATCAATTTGGCCTGGAGCGCTCTTTTTGGGTATCTGTACGAAGGGTCCAGACCAACAAAGTGTCTTGAGATCTCTCCCAGGGTCGCTAGTGTTAGCTAACGACCTTAAACACTGTTATTACAATATAGGAACAGGAGATTAAATTATTTCTTCCAACCCGCTGGAAGGCTTATGCCTTGGTCCTTCACAACATCACGCATAATTTTATTTACATCAACATTCAACTTAACACATAAGGCCTCTAAGAGGTTCTTATGTTCACCCACTCTGAGAAAAGTCTGCCGATTCACCTCCTGTAGATTCTTATTCTGATTCTTGAGCGTATTGTTGAGAAATGTAGTTTCAGACAGATTTTGAATTAAGATCTCCACCTCCCGCTCTAGTTTTTGCACCAACCTCGTGGTAGTATCAGTGGAATCCTTGCGATCACGCTCTAAGTCTTTAATAGTTTGCTGTAATGTTTTGATCTGGCGCCCCTGCCTAGCTAGGTGTACTTTGAGGGCTTTGTTGCGGCGTACTTCAGCCTGGAGTGCTTCCTCCAAGAAGTTAATTCGGGCGGATTGGGTGGTAAGATTCTGGGCTGTATTCGCTTTCTGGACTCTGTCCCATGCTTCAAGCCGTTCGATAAGCTTGCTGGTGTACTCTTCTAGTAGAGAATCGTTATTGGGCTCGGTATCGACGATAGTCACACTAGTGTTGCAACTAGAAAGAGATGCTGGCCGTCGCAGGGTCTTTACTCGGGCAGGTGGCACTGGATAGAAAGTGTACGATTGATTCTCGGGGCATCGGAAGAAGCGGGCGTTGCTGTCCGCCATAGTTGCAATGTTGAGTAACGAGTTAAGAATAACTTCGGCAGGAGGGTATCTGGTTTTTTATATCAAAGCAACTCAAGATGGTAAAGAACTAGCTATGTAAAATTACTAAAATGACAAAGACAAGAAATATACAAGTGATGGCAGAACGAAACCATGAAACAAAGTCATGCCTACTGGAATCCACCCTAGGCCTGCGGGCTTGCAGGTGGGATAAGCGCCTGGCCACAGTTACTGCCTCGTATGGAGCATTTCTGGAAATGGCCTTTGAGAATATCACTTCGTGTAAAAGCGCGTGTGCAGTGGGGGGACACAAAGGGCAGCTCTCCGGTCTCTGTATACATCCCACTCATTATTGGCAAGAGTAGGAGCAGAATGAAGCTTCGATTGAGTATCCTGGACTGACGGCGCAGAAGATGTCGCCTAGCGTTCTGTTTATGAACGAATGTCTTGGGGCATTTTGGGAACTGGGTCCTACCATCTGTTCCGTGCGCTCTGAAAGATTAGTACTAGATCTTTCCCCTCGTCGTCCCTGGAGATCGACCACCCTAGTAAGTGGGTAGTTTGGTGGGATCAAGAAGTGGTCTGCCGCCGTGTGCGTCGGTCCGCTCGTACTGCAAGTCCCAACAGAGTCATTGGATGCTCAAGAGGCGCCTATGCAGGTGGTTGGCTCCCATAGATATTATGCCGTCCAAATGAATACATTCTGCCAGAGGCCGTGGAAGCAGAGCAATTTACACCGCGTCCCGAGCCATAAGTCGGGACCTATGGTAGAGAAGGGAGCGTGGGTATATAAATATTCAATGAGATGTGATTAAACCACCAGACTAGTCCGCGGGAAAGTTATTTGATAGACATACAAACGCCGCACTCCTATACAGCAAAGGCGGCGCTGGTGATGGTAGTGTAATTCTTGAGTAGAGAGCAGACACTAACTAGTTACATGCGGCTACAACTTGCTTTACCAAGTCCTGAGAAACCGAAGCTACCACACAATCTACAATCTTAGCATCTTGGTATTCACGCGACCTGTACGCCACCCTGCAAAACTGCTCATCGAAGCCCTTCTCGCGGTTAAACTCTTGCTCGTCATAAGTTTCATCGGGTGGGCCGTCCCTTTCATCCTCGGGGTGATCTGCTATCCATCTGAGAAAAAACTTTACTCCATTTGACCACACCTCGGATAGAAACTTTGTTTTATAACTTGCATGCGTAAGATTGAGCTTGAATCTTTTTGCCGTCACAGATACGCACAGGTAGCTGTATGATTAACTAGTTAGCGCAGAATTATTCCAACGTGAGTGGGTCTAAGAACGCACTATCTTGTATCAAGACACTGGTTTTTGGGTTCTTGTGGGGGAAGCAGTATAAGGTAGGTTCCATTAACTGCTAGATTCGCACGATAGACAATCTCAATTATAATGCGCTGTAAATCGCCGTGTGGCGGTTGGTCACTGAGATTATACCACTTGGGGCGTAAAACCCCCTGAATTGGGATTCCTTCCCTATTAAAAATTGACCAGAAAACCTTGATAGCACAAGGGTCCAGCAAGGACAATGAGTCGGGAGTAGAGAGGCAGAAGGCAGGCATGAGGGCGGTTTCTTTTGTTTTCGCAGTTTGGAGCTAAGGGAGAAGGAATGCCATGAATTATTATATACACGGAGGGATGGTCGATCACGAAGGAAAGGAGCTATGTAATGGACGACGGGCCGTCTATACGAAGACAGGTATATATATCTAATGGAAGATGATAAAAAAGGTAAAGGATGGGGGGAAATAGTATACAGGAAATATATTATATCATGCCTGGGCGAAGGAGAATAAAAGTACTATTGTGAGAATTGCAGTAATGGGCGAATTTTGATGACTCTGCTGCCCAATACCTTGCAAAATACTGCTGATCTTTAAGTGGGAGGTTGGTGATGCTTGGGAAAACCACTTGCAGGCATTTTCCCTTAACCAGGGCGGTAGCTAAGACCATGGGCCGAAGCCCCGTCGCAGTCCCGAAGATAACCCCCTGATACTCCTTAATCTGCCCCACAGCATCTGGGCTCTTCACAATCCTTCGACCAAACCTTTGCTTAAGGTTAGTGTATTTGAGTGCTTGGGGTAGTGAAAGCAAGGTACTTACCAATGCGTCCATGCTTGTTTGCCTAGAATGTAGTATAGAACGATCATCAGTTTAACATTTGGGTTCAGAGATTCTCCCCCATCCCTTTGGTATATCTCCAATGCACGCGGCATCTGCCTAAATTGACCCCATGAACAGTGCCCGGTCTTGATAGTACCGTCGTTGGCCGTAAATTTAATCATAGGACTGTCAGAATGCTCTGCATTTAACTCAAGTAGCTCAACTACCTGCTCCGCAAGGATAAGTTTATGCGGCGCACTAGAGCCATTAGCTTCTGTCGAACTCAGCTGAAGGGGGCCCATACTCTTTTGCGTGTCTCCGCCGTCCACCCAGACATAGCCTCAACCATGACGGTAGAAAGAAGAAGAAGGACATGACGGCGATCGTAGTTGCCAGATACAAACTATCCGGCTGGCTGTGGGCCATGGCTTAGGTAGAAAGGCATCCAAGCTCCAAGGAGCGGTCAGCTTTCTTATAAACCGTTGTCTCCGTAAGTATGAGGAATACAGAAATATGTACTCCGTACCGTTTTGTCGACAACCTACCCCTGTGTCCTCGTTCCATAGTCAGGATCTAGGCACATGCGGACCGAAAACAGATAGACACCACAAAGCTTATTTCTGAGAAATAGTATAGTCGCTTTTCCAACACAAGGCGGCTGTGGGATCATTTGCAACCAGTCTTTGGGCAAGACCATTATCTCTTTGCCGATTAGACGCCGCTTTTGTCAACTTGGTGTAGTTTTGACTTTCCACTCATTAGCCATCTCGGATTCGGCCACGCTAAGCCTATTCGAGGGACAATCATGATTGTCCCTCAAATAGGCTTAGCGTGGCCCGATCACCCATTTAATACGTTTGCAACCATTTCAACCTTCAAGCTATCCGGGACAGAATATCATCCTCCACATCAAATACTTTAGCCATGACTTCACTCCAGCCAGCTCAACAAGCTGATAAGAGAGATGCTAAGTATTTTGCATATCTTAAGCAGATGCTTCTAAAAGCTCATCGCATCATTGAATCATACGAACCCTCCTCTGAATTTTGTGTACAGCTTCACAGTTTTATCCGAGCGCTACCTGTTCCTCCCAGAGAAGAGGCAGAAAACAATACAACCACTGTGTTTAAAACGCATTTGCCCTCTGAGCCTTTTCGCAACCCAACAGGAAGCCTCACTACAAGCAACCCTGCCATTCAAGATAAGGCTTCTCTGAAATTCGTTATTTACAAACCCACTGAGGACAAACCCACTGAGGACAATTCTGCTACGCGAATTGACTACAGATGGAAAAAGGAGCTGAATATTTTTCTCTCAAATATACCAGAAACGGAAAAATGGGGGAGCCCGCCACCTCGCGAGAAGATACTTCGGCTACTACTTTGCCGTAAGGTTCGATTCGACAAGGTTCGGCTCGACGGGGATGGGAGTGGGGCCAGGGATGACGACGGAGACGACGACAGAGAGGACGATGGTCAAGACGAGTGGGATGAAAGGTGTCGTGCCTATGCCAGCTCTACCGCAGAAGCAATGGAGATAAATTCCGTTTTCCGGGGGATATTGGCGTTTCGCGTCATCATTGTGGCCCTGGCGTGTGTTGTGATGTTAGAGAATGGGGCCGAACTCGCCGACGCCGAGTCAATCTTGAAAACTTGCATTCCCACTCTAAGCACGGCGATGGGAAGAACACTCGCACAGAATAGACACGCTGCAAAGTGGGTCAATTCGCAGATTTTGGAACTCCGTAAGGTTGGATGGGGAGATAGGAGTGCAGAGGTCTTTCTTCTATGTATGTCACCCACCAGAATTTTCGCACACAAATAATTAACAACAGGCAGATGGGCAGAGTATCTCGAAGTTTAGACTGATATGTTCAAACACATGTAGCGGTGATGCATTCATCGCGGGAATGAAAAAGAAAGGCAAACCTATACCAAAACTAGGTGACAATGAGATGCCAATATCTATTCCTTGCATCGTCAAGCGCTGCTGCGGGAAATCTGCTTCGTACGTATACGCGACCTCCATCCTCTTCTTGACTTGTGGTTAATGACGGCTTAGGTTAAGGAAAGTCTGTGAAGTTCTTTCCTACGATTTCAGGGAGGTCCACCCTTTATACAAGGAATTCTATGCTTCTCGAGATGATTTGGACGGCGAGAGCGACGGCCCCGAATACGCTGCGGAATGTCCATCTGAAAGCAATATTAGCGGTTATGAAGCTCACACCAGTGGTAGCGAGGCACCCACTCTCTGCACCTCGTCGCTTGGGACGGGTCGAGATACGGACGAACCTGCAGCAAATCTGGAAACACCTACAGATGCGGCTGGAGACACACCTTGTGCGAATGGGCCGAACAGGTGGCCACATGCGAGCATCGATCGTAGCGAATATCAGCCTTCGCAACAAAGAAGACAAGACGGAGAAGTAGGTGCGTATGAGTATGTCTGTACCTAGTCGAGATCAAGGACTTATGGAGGTGGTAGATGAGACTTCTTCAGCCACGGAATCGAGTACTCCAAGTACTCCCTCCCAGGACGGAAATTCGATCGCTACGAGGCCCCAACAGCAGGCAGGCTCATGGATAGAAGGGGGACCTGGGCAGCAGTGTGATAGCCAGCCAAGGGCGAAACGTCGGCGAACGGATGATGTGCGGGGTGGACAGACGAGCAGCGTGTCTGGATCGATTCATAGCTCCCAAAACGCACAAAACCGGTCACAGAGTGATGTGGTTGGGCATGGCTCAACTAATATTTCGACAGAATGGGTGTCGACAAGGCCCGAGACAACAAATAATGGAGGACAACAGGCAAACAATCTGTCGGGCTTCCGATTGCAGTTACCATCACGTATGATACATACCCGGGCATCGCGGTGGTTTTTACTGCTACTGACTCAGAATAAACAGTTTCCGTACGCCCCAATAGGCAACATTCGGATTATTCCACACAAACCTTGAACCAACGGAGTGTCGAGCCATATAGTGAGTTTTCTTATCGGTGTCCATTCATCCGTCGCTAATGCTCCTTTCTTAGCCCACCAGGCCGGTTCCGCTCCAACAGTAAATGTGTATGCTAATTCCCAAAGGCAAAACCAACACCAAGTCCAACAAACGCGCAATACTTCTCTGACCCACGTTGCACCACGCGCCTTCACGCCTACCCCATCAAACAATTCTCAAGCCTATAACCTCCCCACCAATAGAGCACCAACATACGCCCCCCCAGTACAGGGGTTTTTAGATCACCAAACCATGGTTGTGCGTCAGACACCAGCGGCGCATACGGCCACCATCGGGGCGCTTCTGAATACAAATGAAGAAGCGACCATCAATACAGGAGTTGGTGCGCCAGTAAACTCTTTTGACCACCGCGGAATGCCAATATCATGGGGAGACTCTCAGCATCAGCGCCAAGCCCGCCAAACGCATAGCATTCCCCATTCCCTTGGGACATCAACTCAACATAGATTGATTCAGGAGGTGCGAGGCCAGGTGGAGGGCGCCGCAAGTACAAATAATCCGGTAGCTATTCATACGGCTTATACTGGATTATCTGACACTGATTACAACGGCCAACAACTCGCTGCGGAATCAGGAAGTTTACCAACCGCAACCAACCACCAAAACAACCCCTACGGCAATCGGGGATCGTATTCTGGCACTGGTCCATGGCAGCCTAGTAGCGGCTTTGACCCGTTTTCTGCTACTAGGTATACTCCCAACATTGATTCATGGACAGCGCAGCAAAGTAACCTGAACTCCGTGCCTGTCTCTCTTAACACCGACACATGGACAGCGCAGCAAAGCAACCTGAACTCCGTGCCTGTCTCTCTTAACACCGATACATGGACAGCGCAGCAAAGCAACCTGAACTCCATGCCTGTCTCTCTTAACACCGATATATGGACAGCGCAGCCAAACAGCTTTAATTCTCTGTCTACTAGTACACATTCCTGAAATGGTACATTATGGTGTCACTTTAGATAGCCCAATAATATATATATATGTGTATATATATATATAATTCCCTATCGCTTAAATTGAAGGATTATTGCACCAATCTTGTTTTCACCTTCAATCTCAAAAAATGTTTGTCTTTGTATAAATATAGCATGCTTCCAATGCCAATCTAGTCTTTTCTCATCCCCCTTTTTATTCCTAGTAATAACTTCAGCATGGTAATCGATAAGTGGGACAATAACAGTATCGTTAAGTTCACCAGATTCCCATCTTCCTCTAAAGACAGCCCCATATAATGATAAGGTAGAAATATCATGCGGCAGCTTTTCCTATATCCAATTTTTTTTAGCTATTAGAATATCTAAGGAATGTGGCTTCATACCTTCTGATATATCTTTTTTATCTCCTCCACAATTAATTTTACCCCATCATCATCAGGAAGGTCAAATTTTGAGGCATACGGCTCCGATTGAGAAATAACCGTACTGGATATTGTATTTATTGCTTGTTTAATAGTGGCTTGAAGGAAGTCCGGAAGAGGTAGGTATGTGATTGAGTCGATTCCTTGTAACATGATGCCAACTTATGCCTATCTTTTTAAGCTCTATCGTTAGTAGTCATTCTCATCACCTAAAAGGGGAAATATTGGATAGGCACCTTTGTATTTGAGTGAGTTAAGCTGACTGTAAATATTTCATGAGAGTAAAACATGGCAGGATCCTTTTATTTGTATTTTGTGTTCAACTAAAGTCGCTACTTGTTAACTCATTACCCCGCCGCAGGATGGAGGGGCAAACAGTAAGTTATTGGCTAAATTGTGGTTTCCTACGTCATAAATGTGGGATTGAGGATCACGAGACACTTGTTATATTGATATTACCCCTAGCTCTTGCTTCCTTCGATTTTTCATGTTTTATATATGATTTAACCTAATGTACTTTGCAGAGGCTCTGACCGGGAAAGCGACGACTTGGCCAATTTGTTTGCTAAGATTCATTTGGGCACACTTAACCTACCTAGCTGAGTGCTCTGAGAACGAGCTTTAAAAATATCCCAGTAATCGTTCATTACATCCATTGATCTACTAAACACCCATCACCCAGTATTACTACAATAATGACTTATTTCAAAATCTACTATATCAAGCCGCCGAAATCGGACGCGTCGGTATTGTTCTGCGGTATCCTTAGTAGGCAGCTTCCACTTGCCCCTTAAGGAGGCTTGATATTTACCTGCTAGGGCCACCTAGTACTCCACGTCTTCCTGCTGCTACTCAATTCTAGTTCAATATCGACAGTGTTAGTCTGGCTTGGAGCACATAACCTTTCCCTACATATGATTCGTATTGACTAAGGGGATCATCTTGGGAACTAAGCCCGAATACATGAACAGCCAGGTAGTAGGTTATAAAGGCCAACAACTCGCCCTCAATGGCACATCCGAACAAACAATGCAATCAATAGCTACTACCTTTCTTTCTTTGTGTGTTGCACCCACCATATCGCTACAATGTCACGTCAGTTCAATATCTACTATATCCGTGATTTACCAGAATCAAACCTATCTGGCATCTACAGCGTGGATAAGACTCTCTGTGCTATCGAGGACTCCCATACGTTTCGAGGAGACGGCTACTGGCTTGTAGCATGCCCTTCTAAACCAAATATCCCCAATGTTGAACTTATTCACGGCGCCCTTATTTGCAACAGAGAACATTTTCTACAAGCTGCGGCTGACGCAGTCGCCTCTGATAATCCCGGTGCTCAGCTAGCATATGAAAAAGTTGCAGAGCGAAATGGGCTGGTCAAGGCCTTGGAGGGTCACTATCGATTGTATAAAGACGTCTTACGGCAATTTCTTAACACTAGGAGTGATGGGGTTGCCAAACTAATGGAAAGGTTGGGTAAAGCATGTGGCCACCTGGAAAGTGGCAGGTGTGACGATGCTCTTCGGGATATCCAACACTTATGTGACTTTGTATTTCACATATGGGAACAAGGTGAAATCGAATCGGATCGGAATCCTCAGGTTTTACGACAAAGCTTAAACCATCGTCAAATTGCAATTGCTACCCAAAAAGGGCGGATAGAGGTCGCCTTACAAAACCTCCAGAAGGCTAGGGATGCCGGGAAAATTAAAAAAAGCGCCTATAGCTGGCTGGTGGGACGTGAACAACTAGCCCACGCATTCGAGTCTGCCAAGCATGAAGCTGAGGCTATCGAAAGGCAGCTTCGACAACTTAGCCCACCCCTTTATCGGGCCCAGGATTCAGTCACGGTAAGGAATTTCCCCGTTTCTTCTTTACCTCATACTCACGCTCCTGTAGGTTCAGAGGCCTCAGGTTGATCAGGTGTTTCTTCTTTGCTTTATCCTCCTCTCTCAATTAGAGGACTCAGCTATTCTGAAAATGCGCTCAGAGCTCTGCGAAAAACTTTCATGGGGAAGCAAAGACTGGGAACTAGAGTTTCAGCGCACCGATGATATCCCAATCGAGTACCACGCGATATCCCGTTACCTTCGCCACGCCGCTCAGTTTGAAGGCCACGTCTCACAGGCAGACGAGGTAGAAAAACAGTACAAAAGTTTGGCTGCAGGGGTCCTGAGCATGTCCGAGAATGCAGTGATACAAGTCGCAGACCCAAAAAGCGAGACTTTTTCCTCAGTGCAAAACCTCATGATTCTCTGCGCGATGAAAGGGTGGTATCTGATTTTGCCAGCTGTCGCAGGAAATTTACAGGCCAAGGTAGATTTTGAGGACGCTGTGAAGGTAGCTTCTCTCTCACCTCTATACGAAGACGAACCCGATGAAATCAGGCACCACCTCGATAGTATTCTTATGTTCCTGGAGTCGCGTGATGAAAGAGAGCGGAATGAGACATCAGATATGTTAGGGGAGGCCAAAGAGGTTAGCATGCGGGGAAAGAAGCGGCCAAGTCCTTGCCCGGATGGTGAAAGTGATGAGAAGCGTTTGAAAGATGAATCTGGGCCATCAATGTAAGCACGGTAGAGGGTGCTGTACTATCTTATTTTATATCTAGCTCTTTTTATTTGTTGTATGCCTTGTTGAGAAAGCCCCTTGCTAGAAGGGCCAGTCATGTGTATTTCAACCAGTGATTTTATTCTTCGCAGTCATTTCTCGAATGTTTTATTTAGCTAGTTAGATCACATATCTATCTTTCAGGTGGTCCTGCTTCCTGCCGCCAAAGCGCACTAGGAAACAATCTACTCGAGCGAGCCTTCAATTTGACTTCAATAACTACACAATGGGTAAAGCAACAGCCATTGCCGCGTAAATGCCTCAATAATTATACCACCATTCAGCACACCCACACAGTACCACAGTATCCTCCAGGAAGAGTAGAAGGAATCCTACATCAACTTCCCGCAAGAGTGGATGCCTGTCTATAGGTGATTGTATGTCAAATCAATGCAAATTTTTGATTGGCACAGAATGTGAGCCTTATGTGGCAATGTTTTGTGGTAAGTTTATATCTGGGCCGAGAACTGAACGAGAAAACAATCTGTTTTCAGACTAATTTCCTAGTTAACCAGTTAATGGTTGAATGGTTACCTAAAGAATGGAAACAGTGTGCCAAATAGGTGTTCCTCAATCCACCTAGTTCGTATTCGACATTAAAATGCCAGCTGCTAATTTGGATACGCGTCCAATGCAAAAATGTACCATTAGCCTTTGATCTGTGGTGTCCATGCCAGTCCTCTTCTTTCTCAATCGCATCTATAAAGGGCAGCTAAAATCCTCACCGGTGATATATCAACACTCTATGGTTGATACAAAGCCTGAAATCTCTTAACTATATCTACCTATTTACAAACCGACTATTTTTCCAAGATTTGAGCATATGATTTGCATACCATGATAACCGACTTCAAGATCTACGTCTTGGACGCACTTATCACTCAAAAAACGGACCGACAGCTTCATGACACCAAAACCTGGCATCAATTTCAAGGAAAAGAACATGTGTTTATGGTGTGCTCCGGGATACCGCATACTTCACCTAAAGTATTCCTAGTGGATGATTTATTTATCCGCAATAACAAAGATGCGTTTATCGAGGCCGCTATTGATGCGAGCACCTGCATTATATTAGGAGTTTATGGAGAGTATAAACGGCTTGTAGCACGGAACGGCTTAAATGGAGTTCTTGAGAAACACGATCACTCGTGCAATAAAGTTAGAAAGATATTTCCTCAGTCCTTATATGATGAATTTGCCGATATTCAGCAGAAGGTTGACGAGCTATATTATCACCAAGAGCCAAAGAGGATGCGATCAGGTCTTTCTAGTCTGAGTGATGACCTTTGCGATACATTGAAACGTAGCGAATACCAAAGAGACCAGAATCCGAAAATATTACGGTCATTGATATCCCATCATACAATCATCAACTTTTTAAAAGGCATGTTAGACGGGATTATCCAGTTATTTCAGAAAGCCGCATCTACTCGGAAGATTGATCATGTTCATGCCATGTATGATTCACTAGATTGTCTACAGAAGATGATACAAGCCCATATAAGGTTATTGGTTAGAGGTCTTCAGTATATCAACCAGAAGGAAACTTCTACCTTGGCAACTAGTGAATATACTCCACCGTTTGACGACCGGGTCTCTGATAGAGCGAACGATGTTTTTAACGCAAGTCCTCTGGATATCGATTCAGTCAAACCATACAGAAGCCCGGAAGAGAGAGTGGCCGACATATCCCTTAGTTCGTGGAATTGACGGCAGGCGCATCTGGCTAGAGAAGGAGGAGGTTAGGGAGACCAGGGCGGTGTGGACAAAGGGAAGCGCCAGATATTGTAACTATGTATTATTTGTATTCTGTGTAGTTAATGTAATGTTCAAAATATACAATATCTCTTTATCTTTCTCATACTAACCACATCACAGCTAAAAACAAATAAACTTTTTAATTCTTAAGTAGTTATGACTAATGACTCTGCAATCCTCGGTGTCGAAGCAACTTTGATATACTTCAACACAGATATGGTCAGGTGGCGGCACGCAGAATTTTGCAGGAAAGGTGAACATCCTAAGGGCATGCTGGCCAAACCCTGGGCTCCAATAGATATCTATTAGGTAACGAGTTAACTATAAAGGTGTATAAAAGCAATATAAGACTTACATTCTCACCGATATGTGAGCTGTATTACTCGTTTAATCTTATTAATTTTACTTTCTTCTCTTTTTTTTGATTGGGCGCAAATACCCTAGGGATTACGGAGTAGTTAGGGTACTGTGAAGTATCTATCGGTTGAAGAGCATAAAGGAAAATAAAGTGTTCTAATAGATTTATAAACTATCTAATTCCATCCATCCAATGATTTGTTTCCAGAATTAGAAATATCTTAGGCCGAGAATGTAGTGATACTTCAACTCCTAGTGCGCTGGCGCTTTCTGGAAAATAACTCTAGCTCGAATCTTTCGGGGGTAATACAAATGAATTCTTGCTCAGTAGAGCGAGTCGTTGTTGTATGTGCCTTACGCTTCCGCTTGTTGCAGACGTTGGCAGTCGGTATTGGTATAGAGTGTACGTCGTGATAATGACACTGGAGGTTAAAGACAGAGTTAAATACCATACCTTTGCAGTGTAGTGACCCATAGCCTAAGAGATTTTGCCCTTCAAGTTTTTTATAGTGGTATTGCATATGGTTTGTGAAGGATTGCTTGTACATAAAGGGCTGGAGGCGCTCTGTGGCCACCAGTGTCTCGTTTCCAAGATATCTAGGGCAATACCCGGGTGACGCGAGTACTCCTTGTACTTCTAGGTAGTTATACTGGATAGGGATGGTATCGGGGTGGTCGAGATGGTGCTGACAATGTCTCTTGAAAGCTCCCCAACCCGTAACCCACTCGTTGCAGATAAAACAAAGCTCAGCGAAGCCATGCTGTAATGTCAGCTGGCTTCGAAGACAAGTATGGATATGTCTCCATTTGTATCGTGAAGGCAAGCTATCTATCTTAAGTTAGTCAATATGCTACAAACAAGCAACGGCGCGGCACTTACCGTCCTCCATTGGGGCATTTAGTGACGGGACACCGGCCATTTTCTGGCATCAAAGCCGGGTGATCAGATACAGCCCTTTCCTTTTGACAAAGTGTAACCATATCTTTAATTGCCTGCCTCCCCTCAGGGCTTCGTAGCGAAACAGGCATAAAGAGGAGCTTGCTTAATCTCTTCCTCTCAGGCATGAGATGAGAAATCCGTTCGAATGATTCCAGATAGCTTAAAGCTGAAGAGTCTTCATCCTTTGTACTAGGCTTACAATCAAGAATTTGCTGTTTCTGCCATTTATCTAGCTCTTGGTCCAAGAGCTTGCTCCTCTAGCTATAAAAAGCTCGGCGCTCGTTTTGCAGTTCGCGCTGGTGTTCTTTAGGGGGGGTCGCCTTGATCCTTTCACTAATATCTTTGATCTTGCTATCGATTTCAACATATTCGGGACACTTCTTCAAGTCATGTTGCAACTGAGCAGGGAGAGCTTGCTGTAGCGTCGGGTTGCGCCGAAGAGAGAGCCCACGAAGGTGTTCATGGATATCATGGCGGCGTGGTAGATTAAGGATGTTGCTGACTCTATCAACTCGACAAAATTTGCTCATATATGATTCGCGAAAGACCTTTGGATCTCTCTGACCTGCAAATTTCATTTTGTCGGCCTAGGAGTAGCCATTTGCTAGGTTTAAATAGCGTCAGAAAGCTAACCTATGCTTAGGTAGTAATATTAGTTACTTACCATCGGCTACCATTAAGGCCTCTCGACGGATGTTATGCATAGTCATACTGTCATATCCCGATCGCCGCCCTAGAAGAGAAAATTGCTCTGATAACCACTTGGACTTGAGAGTCTTTCCCGTTGGCCCCAGGGTAGTGACACACTCAAAGAACGGCGATTGCCTCTTCTTAGGATACTTAGAGTTGATGTGTAAGTTTTCCTCCCCCCCACAGGGCTTCTCATCAGACAGTCGATTAGTAGGGGAACGCAACACTAACTCGATGCAAGGGGAGTTTGGCGGAGGATTAATTGCGAAAATCTTATCTGCTGTTTTATAGTCACGAAACAAACCACGCGCAAGGCATATTGCCAGTGGCTCAAGGACTGGGTTTAGGTATAGAGGGAGTGGGCTGATATCCTCCTGCATAGGATGCCGCGGGCTATTAAACTCGATAAAAATATTAGCCTCCTATCAACCAGGGATAAAGAAGAATATAGAGTAGTCGGACCATTTTTCTTGTCGTTTAGATATACCCTTCGCGTTACGCCGAGGGGTAAAAACAAGTTCTGGTATACCCTTATGATTGCGGATTACTAAAAAGGTTATATCCTGCGGATATATTAGTATCAAATCCAATCAATACCCAAAGGTAGTTAGACGGCATTTCGCTCTGCTTACCTTCTCAACACAGAGTCCTCGGTTTGTACCCGTTCGCGAGCACGATTCCACATACTCGCCCACCCTCCCCGACGAATACATACAGAGCTTCAGGAGGCTGGATAGATATACCTGGTATATTGGGAAACGAAAAATATACCAGTCATTCTCCCATAGCTAGGTTAGTAGGTTCTGGAAATGAATAAGAGTGACGAAATCCTTCTCATCACGCTCCCGGCTGATAGGTATATGTGCATCAAGCTCTCCTTTATTTTTGATCCACTGCTAAAGTAGTTAGATAATCCGTTTGATTTCAGTTTCTTTTCGGGTAGCAACCTAGGTGTCTGGGTAGTTGTAGACCACTTACATTCGCACCAGAGTTTATCACATGTGCTGGGAGCTCAATATCTGTTCTCCGTGCCCACTCTGCTGTAAATGCCTTCCATATCTTATGAATATATGAATCCATAGGTTTACCATCCTTTTGTCCATTGGCACCTGCCGCTATATATATAATAAAATGTTTGATTGTTTCCTGATTAAAGATATCACTATCTTTGGCGCCGTTACCCTGGCAGTATCTAGAGATTGTTAGTTAGTATGGCCTCCTCAGCAAGTTATCAGTCGCTTACTCTAGCCATAGATCTCTAGCACTAGCATAGTTATATGCTGTACCAGGCTGTATTTCACTCCACACCCTCTCTCGACTGAGAGAGCCCTTATGAGGGTTAAACCCCTTTTTTTGAAGCCTTCGGGCCCTCTCTTCAGGGTCTATCTTCTTGCCTATTATATTTGGGATTTGGCTGTGGATATTAATTTCGATATTAAATGTGTTAGGAAGGGCCTAGTAGATAGTTGATATGGACAGTAGGTGGATGTGAAAGAAGAGAAGGAAGATGGGGGGAGCGTAAAGAAAATAGAAATTGGGAAGGAAGGGAGAAGCGCTTTCCACCCCTAGGGTGAAGGGTATACGGGATGGCTGACCCATCGTGTAAACTTGATAGTTGTCGAAGCGCTTACATGGGATAATGCATTTTTAATTATATGCGCGTGAATTCTTACGAAGTTGTGAGAAATGCCGAGAATTTGTATGAATTCTCGTTCTTTAAAGCGGCTGGTAAAGATTACTGGAGGAGGCAGGCTATATGAAGGGGCTGTTGGTTTAGTGGTATAATACCCCCTTAGCATGGGGGTGGTCCAGGGTTCGATTCCCTGACAGTCCAAATTTTTTGTATCTCCTCCGTCCCCGGTATAGGACGCTCTGCTGTCTCGACTGCGATATCTGCGATACCACGGTAAGTTGAGGTGGTGTCCTTTTTGCTGGTCGATATACTACGTTCTGTTACGCTGTCAGTCACACCCAACGGCTTCTCCGATCAACAAGAGTGACTGCGGTTGCATCTTGGCCATGTCAAGCGCATTTGCAGCACAGCCCTGTCCCCATAGTTAGTTACATGAGAGGAGGTACATCGAAAAAAAAAAAAATCTTCTTCCCTACTCCGTACACACCATCTCTTTCGCTGTCGACAGGGCGCGCAGCTCGAGCCCTTCCGGCGGTGCCGTCTTTTCCCTTCCGAATAAGCCGCGACCACAAGGACCACACAAAGGCCAAAGACGCTGGGGACATGCCATATCGTCACTGATGTATCGTAGACAGGTCAAGGCATATGCATCCATGTACCTGATTTCGTCGCCTGTTTTCTCCGTCTCCCCCCAATTATGCGGAGATATGTCGGAATGGTCGACGTGCTGCTCAGCCATCCTCATCCTTCTCTGCGACCCCTCCTCCTTCGTGTGTAAATCCAGGGACGAGAGACAGGCTGGCTTGTCGCTCCATCTAGCCGTAATTCAGGTCGAAAAGGGGAGAGAAAGGATGAGACTGTGTGAAAGCGCCGCCTGCGCCAACCGGTTAATTTCATGCCGCGCAAACAAGGGGCTCACCTCTCATAGATAGCTATTAAGCCAGTGGGCTAACTGTTCAGCAAAATCCATCTTTGAAGGGGGCTGGTACAGATATCAACGGATGCAACAGTCTGGATTATCGCTATTCTGCGCCAGGTGAGTACATATTGTCGGCTGAGGATGCTCCCCTGACATCCTCTCCGCAACGTTGTGTTTCGGTCAAATCCGCCCCTGGGGACGATCACGTCTTAGCCTGCAAAAGCAGCCACTGAGCTGTGACCAGGCGCCTACTGCTACAACTCCCAGCAGGTAGCATTCGCCACAAAAGCGCGGACAAAAGTCGTCTTCGGCCGGAACGAAATTTCCTGCCAGGGGATATAATAGAACGTCCAGTCTTCTGCCAGTTACTTCGTTCTGAAAAGTTATACATCCAAATTTTTGGCCTTGAGAAACAATTCCGATACCAAGTCCAGCACAGTCGAGAACGCTTTTGCTACAGATAACTAGTGCAAAGCCGTATCGCATTCTCTTTTTTAGCATCATAATACGGGGCTGGCTACTATTTTTGTCTCTTGAAGAAAAGATTGCCACAGAAAATTCCTGAAAGGGGCAAACTTGTTTCTTGAGATCTATAACTTGGTCTTCTTTTCTTATTTATATCGTCGGTCCCGGTTGTTGTCCCTACTCTTCTCGAAATACCCCCTTAATCGAAGTCTGCAGCATACTCAAAAAGGAGAATTCTCCAAAACCTCCAGTCCCCAGATGTCGACAACTCTATACGCTCGATCCTGGGATGAAACACAGACGAAATCCCAGTCACTCAATATCTACACACACGACACAAGGGCAGTTAGCGATATAGCACTAACTACACTCAACTCGAAGCAACGAATGGGATTCTGGTCAAAGTTCAAGCGCTCCAAGAGTCAGAATATAAACAACTATCACACCAAACCAGACGCATTACCCCAGCGAGCAAAGTCAGACGCCAATCTAGTATGGTGTCCCGAACAGAAGATATGGTTGTTCGCACGCCAACCAGCCAACAACCCATCCCTTGATTCTCGAACACAACGACACAAATCACAGCAAAAACCTACGGTTACCACAAGACTTCCACCGCGAGCCGAGTATGGTGAAGAAGAACTCCTTTTTGCCCAGCTGCCTGGCCACTATTGCCTGGGTATTTACACCGAGGCCAACAACGAACCCGTCAGCCCGTGTGAGCCGGATTACTTCGACTTCTCGGGACAAAAGGCCATGCAGACAAGTCGATGGATGTCGGTTGCTCAGCGAGTTGGGCCAGGAAACACCATGAGCTGAATAGGACATTGCGGGAACATAGATTTACGATGCTCATTCACTAGCCGGCTCGCTGTGCATAGCTTGACCTAGCTGATAGGATACACCTCTATCACCCCGGTCCAGCGCCGTCCAGGCCACATAATATAGCTGCCGCTATTAATGGAGATGCATCACCGGTGAATTACTTTGTTATCGGTCTGCATACCGCTTCTTCTCGCAGGCCGAGAGAAAGGAACTTGTCTTTAATGGGACATTCACAAAAGGGTCAAGGATATCTACTAGGATAGAATGGGGCGTACACGGTCATCAAAGGGAAATACCATTAATATCTTATCCCCTCGTATTGAGGAATAGAATGATACCAGAAGATTGTATACTACCGAGAAGCATTGCACTGATGGGAAAAACTATAGCATTTTGATACTAATAATAATAATGAATCATTACCACATATAATGATCAATATTTACAACTCACCCGCCTCCCTGTGCATGGTCACGCATACCAAAGTATACCACTCCTATCCCGATGGAAGAAGTTACATCGCTCAATGGCATTGGACATAAATGTGCTCTGGAGCTCGTACCCGGATCTCGTACGCTGCTCTCGTACATTCCCTTCGTATAACTAAGTCGCTAGTTATCTCCATTATTCTAGGCCCGAATACGTACCTTGCAAGTTAAGCGCGGGACGCATGACGACCCCTGTGGGACCAGCTAACGACGGATATCACGGTACGAAATATACTCTATATGGAGTCTCTGTCTCCCTAAGAGCAGAAGTTTCAGAGTCACATGTATACTCTATGGTATCATCAGTATGTTGCAGTGAACGAAACTTCACGCCCTTCGTCCATTTGAAAGAATGAAAGGGTAAATTGAAATTTTCATGTGAAGGGAAGGGAACTTCTCGTTGGAGTAAACAGCTACAGACTGCTTTGCCTATCACTTTTACAGAAAATACCCAATACGTATCCGCAGGGACGAGAGAAGTGAACATATAACACCACCAGCTGCAGGACTTTAAAAGGAGATGCGGTAATTCTCTAGGCGGTAGTTAACGGGAGAAGTTGGGATTAGGTTCTAGCATGCTTATCTCCTTCCTTCTCCTTTGGGAAGTCGGATTAGAGCCGCCGCACCTTATTTGAACGTCACCTTTCAACAGCTACCGTAGGAGTCAAAGCCTGGCCATAGCCGACGCAACGATACCAATCTAAAGCAAATGGCTAGTATTATTAAGATGTCGTCTCCTGGTAGGCATATACTGAATATAAGGTATCACTAGTAACCTGCGACTCGAAAAAAATTCAGATATAGCAATTTTTATTGTCCTGATAAAAAAAAAAAAAAATAAAAATAAAAATATAGCAAAGTATCAACAAAGCATAAGCTCCTCTTAGTCTATGAGCCAGGAAATAGAATAAAAACAATGATGATGACGACCAGCAAATGCCACGCATCTAAAAAGAAGACACCAAGATAATAATCAAGAATGGTAAAAGGCGAAGAAAAGAGCAACAAAGAGGGGGAATAGGGGATATCGTCCTTGCTTGATCTGGCCTTCACATTGCAGAAAATCCCGTGGTAAAGCAGGAAATGAAAATGCGAGAAGGAAATTGAAAGGATCAGGGAGCAAAAAATGGTACATAAGACCGAGGATGGGCCCAAGGTTGGTTGATGGTGTAAAGAGGGGCTGTGGAAGTATAGATCGCTCAGATGAGAAGGTAAGCGGGCAATTGACTTTTTGTTCTTTCTCCTGGTCTTTCCTTGATGCAGAATTGAAGAACAGGTGGGAATAACAGGCAAGGATTAAGATGGATGAAAAACTTATTTGGTCATTAGATCGGGGGAAAAGGGGAATATGATATGATATGGGACAAGGGTCGATGTGTGGTATAAAGGGGTGTTATATCTGTTTTAAAATGTTCGTCTGCCGGGTTTCCTTTCTTACCATCCATGGGTATGGAAGGGGTTGCCTCCTGCGCTCTGGAAACCAGCTCCATTATTCATCATGTTGAACAAGACACTGGGGTCAATGTGGATGTTCTGTCCTCCCATACCACCCATGCCACCCATGCCACCCATGCCACCCATGCCACCCATGCCGCCCATACCAAAGCCACCATGAGCAAAAGGATTTGAAGGATCTATTAGGTCTTCTCCATTATCATAAGATTGTCGCTTCCTGTTTCGCAGATAAGTGGTTAGCAGGTACTATATAATCATATAGGAGAAAAGCAGAAAAGGATACATACTGAGGGTCACTCAAGGTCTCGTAGGCCTCTCCAATTTCTTTGAATAGGGTATCGTCGCTACTGTCTCCATTGACATTCTTGTCAGGATGGTGTTGAATGGCCAGCTTGCGGTACGCCTTTTTGATTTCGGTTTCGGTAGCATTCTTCGATACACCGAGGATCTTGTAGTAGTCCTTGCGCTGGCTCTTCTTAAGCTCCCACTCTGCGTTTCGGATTTCTTCTTGGATGCCCTTTTCGTTTGGGTTGCTCTCTGCAATATCCTTCAGTTCCTTGAGGGCTTCGTCCCAGTTACCGGCTCCTCCATTTGCTTTTGCTCGAACTCTTCTGGCTTTGATGTAACTTGGGTCGAACTCTAGGGCACTGGTGCAGTCTTTGATGGCCTTGTCGTACTCGTTGATATTTATATGTGCCTGAGCACGGTTTTGGAGAAGCTTCGAGTTGATGTCCCTGTTGTTGGGGTCAACCTCGAGGCCCTTGGTGTATAAATCAATCGCTTCCCTGTACTTGCGAGCTTTGAATGCGGCGTTTCCTTCGTCCTTGATCCGTAGGAGTTTCTGTACCATTCGAAGAAATTTAATTATCTGAGAGGAGTCAGGGTCCAGGCTGAGAGCTCGTTTGAAGTGCTTGAGTGCCTGGTCGTTGTCACCCTGAAGGTAGAACAGTCGGCCACGCAAGAAGACGGCATCTGGGTCCTGGTTGTTATCGCGGAGCAGGGACATGGCAATGTTCTGCGCCTCGCCCAAAGCGTTAATGTTACCCATCTTCAGGAATGCCTCTACCCGCATTAGCAACCAGTTGCGCGGCTGCTGTACCCCGTTGCCAAGTCCCCTCACAGCCTGGTCCAAACAGTACAAAACCATGGAGCCGCCCTTCTCTCCCCGAAGGGTTTCCTCAGCCTGGGAGACATTCCTGAGCATAGCCTCCGCAGGTGCGGTATCCTTTGCTGATGCCGGAGGTCGGATGTTTGAATATACATGGAGAGCCTCTGCCGGACGACCAAAGGCCGTGTATATTCTCGCCAACCTGTGCATAATCTTTGGATTGCCTGGTTCCAACTCGTCTGCACGTTTGGCATCATCCAGCGCCTCCGAGTATCGGGTTTGCAGATATATACGCAGCTGCTCGGTTGGACAGATATGTGGACGAAGAGGGAGACCGCCTTCGACAGCTATGACATTGTT